AAGGAATTCTAGTGGGGGCCATGAAGGGAAATGGAGTTTGAGGACTCTCTACTCATAAGTGTTCTTCAAATCCTCAGCATCAGCAGACATGTGACCAATGACCTGATGTCTGAACCTCAAGACTTCTGAGTCAGGACCTTCCAGCACTATTCCCCAAGCTCCTCAGAGAGGCAACTGCGTGTTAAAGCAGCCTTGATTTCTTCATTTTTTAAAAAAAATTTTGTGTGGATCTGTGTGGGAGATAAGGTCAGTATACCAAGGCCCAGGCCATATCTGTCTTCAGGAAACCTGAAATTGTGTGCTAAGCTGAGCCCACTGGTAAATTATGATGACCTCCAAAGTAGGAGACACCTCCTGTTACAAGTGAGGACACTGAACACTGAGCCTGAGCGAGAGAGACAGAGATAGAGACAGAAATAGAGTTACAGAGAAGGGAGAGAGAGAGAGAGAGAGAGAGAGAGAGAACAAGGGGGGTAGAGAGAGAGAGAGAAGGAGAAAGGGAGTTTAAATATGGGTAAATTAACAATCTCAAGCATAATAACTTGATCTCCCTTGTCCCCTGACTTTAGACTCTATCTCCATTCACTGAACTGAATCTTATGTCCCTGCTCCAGAGATAGGGAGGCTGTGTATTCTGGTTCAGTGAAGTTGATTGGCAGTCCTGGGTCTTCTCTGATGCTACTTCTCAGTGACTCAGTGAAACCTCAGTATGCCCTTCAGATGCCAAGGATCAGTACATCCCTTGGAAGCTCCCTGCTCTAAGTATAGAACACTTTCTCAACAGCTTGGCTTTTTTGGGAGAACAAAATTCAAGGTTCCTAGTGTGATTTGAGCTAAGTCTCATGGAAATAAAAAGTGCAACTCAGATAGCAAGTGCAATTCCATGTCCCACTTCTGATAAATTTACTGAATCTTTGAAAACTAAGTCATGTAATCAGTCATGAATGGTTTTGAATTTAATAGATTTCATTGAGAAAATATTTAAAATTATATTAAGATCGTAAATTTGTCATAACTGTATTTCCTTAAAATATCTACCTCAAACTGGCCAAAATCCTCATAATCTGTTTCTGAGTATCCCTTTCTTTGTCACAGCCCTCATACCACCTGAGCTGAGTGGTAGTTGGCTTCATGTCAGTTAATGAAACTCAGTGATCCTTGGTCATGTTGTTTCTCTTTCCCTGTATGGCAGCTTGCCGGGTTTTTTCCTGAGTCCCAGCGTTCTCAGGCTGTGTGTGTTATGCTCCAGTAAAAACTTGTCTACATTTCATTCATGTACTATGACTTTGTGGGAAGCTGAGATTAAGTGTGGTGGATGAACTAACTGGGTGTAGGAAATTTCAAGTTTGCATTGCAAATAATTTATTGATCACGCCCCAAGATGTTCACTTCTCAGGTGCAAATAGAATTGAGAATCAAAATAAAAAGAAATAGTCATATGATTGATAATCTTCCCAAACAATTAGAATTTATTCACATAATATAATTACATAGACAAAGAGGTATTGATAATAAAATATTGCAAAATAACAAGTGTACATTAATATAATCAACATAAAATGCTCACTTTTTAAACTGAAGAAATGCAAAGTAGTACCGGTGCTGCTAATAAACTGCTAATAAAATATCAGTATGTAGGAAACTAAGAGAGAGAGAGAGAGAGAGAGAGAGAGAGAGAGAGAGAAAGCAAAGGCAGAAAAAAAAGAAATGAAGAAAAAGGAATCTTTCACATATCATAAGTAGGAATTTTCCTTTCTTTTGTTTTAACTTTTTAACTCTAAGTGAAATCTGATTCTGAAAAATATACAAATGTCTACCTTAGTGAGTTGTTACAGGAGAAGCAATCCCATCCTGGGAGTCTTCCTTTGACCTCCCTCTCTCATAATGTGACACAGCTTCCCTCGAAACTCTCTTCATATCACTCTTACTCCCTACAACCCAGCCTTTTACAGTAAGCATATCCTTTCTCTTTATATTCTCAGCTTTCATGGTTTCATCCTTAAAACCTAGGATTCTTTTAATCTAATGACTCTTACACTCCAACTCTTTCTTTTCTTTACAGTCCATTATTGAAGAGCCCTGGCTCTTTGACTAGTGCACTTTTTTTTTTTTTTTTTGGTACCGGGGATTGAACTCGGGTCCTTGTGCTTGCAAGGCAGGCCACCGAACTGCTGAGCTAAATCCCCAGCCTGACTAGCGGACTTTGTGACAATCTGATAATGTAGGTTGCATCCTTGGTTACAATGGTATACCCAGTTAGTGAGTGAACAAGAAGGATTAAAAAGTCTGAATGTCTACCTTTTGTGATGTCAGTGATGGTGATACTCAATGTGTGGACCCATTGATCTACTGGGTGCACTCATGTAAATATGTTGATATTAAAATTTTATGATGTTTTTCCATTTATTAGTTAAAATGACTTTGTATAATTGTATTTTTTATTTAGCAACATTTGATTACCTGGGGGTGAATTTCATATAGGAAAAGGAGAAAAAGTACCCGATATTTTCAACTTTCAGAAATACTGAATTTGTTGCCAATCACCCTCTTCATTAGTTTTTATTGTATTATTTTTATAAGCATAGTGATTTAAGACATTTGTAACTTTTCAAAGAGGCAAATGATATTTTCTTCAAGCTTTGAGCTTGCTCTGGCTATTCTTTTTACAATTAGCTCTTGATGTTGCCATATTAGTTTTCATCTTTCCTGATACATATCAGGATATACACTTCCTGCTACATACCTAAAATCATCCACTTCTCTAAGATACCTAAACATTGAACAGGAGTGATGTAGTGGACATTCTTCTTTTGTCCCTGATTTTAGTGTGAAGGATTACTTTTTTTGAGAATATAGTTTGATAATTAGCTGTTGGTTTTTCATAAATAGTTTTTATCAGGTTGAGATAGAGACCATCTATGCCAATGTTTTGTAGAGTTTTTATCATGAATGTGTGTTGGATTTTGTCAACATTTTTTCTACATCTATTGAGATGATGATGTGGTTTTTGTTCTTGGCTCTATTAATATGGTGCATTACATTTATTGATTTGCATATGGTGAACCATTACTGCATTCCTGGGATGAATCCCATTTGGTCAGGGTGTATCTTATTGAGGATTTTTGCATCTATGTTCAGAGATGAGATTGGCCTACAGTTCTCTTTGTTTCATTGGGTCTTTCTCTACTTTTGGATTCAAGGTGAGCCTTGCTTCTAGGAATGAGTTTGGGAGTATTGCTTCCTTTTCAATTTCATTTAAAGTGTTTAAATAGTGCTTCTCTAAATGTCTTGCAGAATTCAGCAGGGAAGCCATCAGGACCCAGGAATTTCTTAGTTGGTAAATTTTTAATTACATTTTCAATTTCATTGATTGATATTGGATTATTTGGAATTTTAGGTCTTCATTCAACTTTCACATGTAATTCACATATATCTAGAAATCTATTCAATTCTGCTGTGTTTTCCATCTTGTTTTTTTTTCCTTTTTATTGAGTTTATTGGTACAATCTAGGTATACAATACAATTACATTCATCATTGGGATTCTGTACCTTTACATAATAGGTCTTGATTCTCATTTTTCCCCTTGTCCCTGCCCTCCCTTCACCCCCTCCTCCCCTCCCCATTTACAAACACTTTATTTCCATTTTTTTCAGTTTCTCATATTTTTTTCCTCTCCCTTATTACCTTTCCCCCACCCTTCCCACTTTCCCTACACCTTTAGCCCTTTACTTCCTATTTCACATTATTAATTATCTCATTAGGATCCTGTGTACTATTATAGCTTTTCACACCAAAGAAACTATTCGGTATTTCAGTTAAAGAAATCTCTGTATGAACATTAAAAATAGGGAATCCTAAAATAAAACTAAAAAGGAAAGTAAAAGAGAAAAGACAATGATCTAACATTAAAGTAATCCTTAATTCTGGAGATGAAAATGGTCCCTGAACATATTTAAATTGCTTCTCGCTCTTATAGTCTTATCTTATTCTTTTTTTCATTATTTAGAGAATACTTTATTAGTTTCTGTAATCAAACCCTCATAGATATGACCTTACATATTTAGTATGATGTGTTACCCCTGTACACATGGAAAAAAAAATAAAAATAAATTAACATTTCTAGACCAATATGGTTGTCCATGCTTTTAAGTGAAATAAATAGGACTTAAATATCTAAATTCCAAATAGTTTCTCTGGTGTGAGAAACTGAAAGTGTAAATGAGGACCAACACATATAATAGAAAATGTGAGATAGAAAGAAAATTTCCAAAGTGGAAAAGGACAAGGAAGTGGGGTAGGGGAAAGGAAAGATGGGAAAGGAAAAAAATAAAGAAAATCTTTGTAAATAAGGAGGAATGGAGGGATGGCGTGGAGGGCAGTAGGATGGGGAAAAGAATAAGAAACGATATATCATATAAATTTACAACGATGAATGTCATTAAAATGCAACAATAAGCAATCAATAAAAAAATAAAATAAAGGGCCAGGAATTTAGCTTGGTGGTTGTGCCTCCTGCCTTGCAAGCACAAAGACCCAAATTTGATCCTCAGTACCATAAATAGATAAATAAATATAAAGGATATATCATCAAAACTTTAGAAAATGATAGTTTTTGCCTATCACTGGCTAATTTACAGATAAATTAGTAATATTTTGCACTTTGTTAATTGAATATTTATTTATTTTTTATTTTATTTTTTGATACTGGGGATTGAATTTGGGACCTTGTGCTTGTGAGACAGGCAGCAGAACCACTGAGCTAAATCCCTGGCCCAATTATTGAATATTTATAATTTTTAACTTTCTGAATTTCTATTAATAAAACTAAAGAGAAAAAGAAAAAATGGTAGGACACAATG